CGCCATGAATTTTGTATAGATTCTCAACTCTTCGAGACATTTGTGGTACAGAAGAAGGTTTAGACCTTTATTGTTGGATTAATTTTAGAAGTGATGGAATGAAATTCATACAGAATGGTGGTGTTTGGTCCTCATTAATGTCTTCGTAAACTTTATCAGACTTCGACTGGGTTGGTTGTTGGATGTCTAGGTTCATAACCTTGGCAATGTGGCAAACAAGCTGCAAATAGGATGAAAAATCCTCAGAGGGAGAAGGGATGGTGGCATCTACTACATCAGTCTGGTGTCAGTAAATTTGGAGGCGAATATTGTGGCAGTAAAGAGTCAGAGGCGTCTGAATCAGAAGACTGTGGAGATGATGGTGGAGAAGGTTGCTGATAAGGGGAGGCAGAGATGGTAGAATGAAGCTCTGGCTGATACCGAATAGGTTTGTCTGCAATATGCTGAGGTAGTAAGGAACGAGATGTAGGTTGCCAAAGTTTATGATGTTTTGTCTGGTGAGGATGATTAGTGTCCAGAGGTGGAGGTGGAGGTCCAGCACAGATAGTTGTTACTTGAACGGAAGATGTGTGGACCTGTGATAACATGGTAGCCTCAGTAGATGGTGGGTGAACCTGAGGAGATGGTTGGGATTGCTTTGTATCAATGGCTGTTGCCCTATCAGGGGCTGTGCGGAATGACTCCTATTCCGAGAGGATTTGTAGAGCTTCAGTACCGGAGGTGGAGGTACGGTATCATCATCAGATGAAGGTTGGTAATATTCATGGGACTATAGGCAGTACTGAGGAGGGGACGCCGAGCCTGATTCATCTGATGGGTAAAGGTATGCATACCGGGAGCGATGAGGCTTGATGTAGGGACCGGTATTGGGATGCTGGTATTGATACGCTCGATATCAATGGCATTTAGGTGGAGGCTTGTAATACATCTCGTATTATCATGACTCGTTTTGGGTGATGATACCGAGTCAGAGAATCATGTGATGCCTGCAACCCCATAGAGATTGGAGGTTGTGCAAGGTCGACATCAGATCAGCAAGCCTCTGGTGTTTCTAGAACGCTTTCTCAGAAGAGACAGTGAAGCTAAAATAGATGGTGACTCCAAATCACACACAGTGGAAGAGCAACCCATTGATTTGGGGCTCAAATGTGCTGAGTGCGATATGACTGTCACTTCTGCGTAGGTGTTGGCCCAAGATGGAGATTGGGCAAGAAGTGGAGAAGATGGTTGACCCGATGGTGGTGGTATGAAGTCATCATCAGAAACATTGAGACAGACGGTTGGTCGGTCCTGGAGAGGAATTGCCAGTGTTGATTTCCCCGCTGATGCTCTTGGAGGCTTGAGAATCTAAAGAAGGTTTCTTAGACTTCTTAGGGTTACAGTGGTCCAATATCAAAGGAGGCTTCAGTATTGGTGTGGACTTAGTTGACGGTCCTGAAGACTTAGATTTAGCCATGGACTTCGATTTAGAAGGCACAGACTTCTGTGTCAGAGAGGAAGTAGGCACTTTGATGGGTACGTCTTGGGACTGGATGGTTTGAGAGATGTCCATGGCGTTCTGTGATGGGAGAAGTGACTGTTCCCAAAGAAGGGATCTCAGGCATTGTAGTCATAGTTTGAGAGTCTGTTTTGTAAAGTATTTCCAGATCAGACACGAAGATGGTTGTTGTGATTCCCCAAGGCACAAGTCATGTCCATCTGAATGGGGAATTTTCTTTGGGTATGAAGCGCAGCATTTAAATGGGGCTATGGGTGCCATAAAAGGTGGAAGGAAAAGGGAAGGGAAAGTGGTCAGGAGAGGCAGAAACAGCTCAAAAAGTCTCTTACTGTATTCTCTCTGTATTTTACTCTTTAGGAAGAAATGAAAGCAAGTAGCAAACAGAGAGCTCGTCGTGAGATGGAACCTCAGTGGAAGTTTTGAGGCAAAAAGGAACTGAAGCAATCGCCAGGACAGGTGGACCACATGTACTGGGGGGTGCGGTCCTGGTGAATGCATGCTAAAGCTCTAGAATAGTCCAGAAACCTCTGTGCAGGTGCAGATTAAACCCTATAGTGTGCATTCACAGAGACCACAAAGAAGAACCTCAATATTTTCAGCTTTACTGGACCCATCCATACACAGCTGAACTGAAAGTTCTTTCAGTATAGATCGGCAGAGGCAGAGAGTGCCTTTGCATCTGGCAGAACGGAGGCAATGACTTTTTACATTAGCCCAGACTGTGGCCTAATTTGGTAAACTGTCCTCAAAATTCATGAAGCCTCATTCTACAGATAGGGGCTTTAAAAGAATGATTGGAAGGATGTGAATTAGGTACAAAAATCACTGCAGTTCTATCAGATGTGGCATAGGTGGTCGGTCTGTGGTCCAAAGAGGGGAGGATACCTCATCCCTAAGTTTTTGAGAGCACCATCACCACCCCAAATTAAGTCATGAGCTGCCTCTAATGTTTATCCTTTATTAAAAGTCATGCTTGGTTTGTTACAATTGGAACAGGAGAGCAGTTATCTCCATAGCACTTCTCTTGGGCCTCACATTTTAGACTGTAAGCCTGCGGGCTCTCTTACTACCTTAATTGTAAGCCATTGGGAGCACAGAAGACATTTGCTTGGAATGGGGCCTGGGGTAAAACCTTCTTTGAATATGATGGACCTGCATGGTATTCATATGGAAAGCAACAGCTGGTGCTTTCCATCAACCTCTTTTCCAACCACAAAGCTGACCGTGACAGTCCTGATACTGCCCTTGTCCTTCTCTGGCACACCAGCTCTTTGGGAGAAAAGTGCCTTTTTTGGTCCCTTGCCCTGGCAAAGATATCACCGGAATATGTCTGAGGTTGACTCCTAACTGTCCCATTTTCAACCAGAGGCTCCTCTGCCACCTCTCTGGAAGAAACACATATACATCCTGTAGTGCTGCCTGCTGCCCTTTCACAGAGTCAGTGCTGAACAGCAGCTGAGTTGGTTCCCATAGAAGTAGTTCTCTTTTCATCTCCCTCTCATCTCCCTCTCCCACTTCTTTCAGCAGAAGCTGCTGCAGTGGGTTCAGGTAGCATTTCTGCTGCCCTCCCCAAGTGCCTACCTCCTCAGCCTCACTCACATTTCATACTGCCTGCAGACTCCGCCCAAAGAACAATGATCTGATTCTTCTATAGCAGAACACAAACCATTGCAATAAAAGTCACACACAGAGACAGAGAGAGAGAGAGAGAGACAAAATCTATTAACTTAATGTATTTGTCTATATCGGAGGAAAAAATCATATTTCCCTGAAAATGGAACGCCTATGATATCACTGGGAGACAATGTGGATGCTTTAAAAGAGGGCCTAAACCTAACAGAATATTTCCCAGTTGATTTGTAACATATTAATCTAGGAATCTATTAATACTAAATTCCTTATTATATTATTGAATTTGGATTCAGATATATTTGGAAATATCTGAATATGACACTATTCAGAGAATTCCAAACATTTCTGAATCCTAATGTGTATGCCTACTTAAAAGGATGACAAATTCCTGTTAACTGAGTATGCTGTGCTGTTGTTCAAGAGAACTAGTGACAGCACTAAGTTGAGAGAAAATTCTATGAATTTCATATCATGTGTCAAAAGCTAGATATTATTCCTTTTGGTATTATGAGTATTTTTAAAAGATATATTCCAGCTTTATCCAGCCAGGCTTATAATTCAATCTCAAAAAAAAAAAAAAAAAACCTAAGAGGAACTGCAACCAAATGCCATCTTATTTAATCTTGATGCGGTTACCTTCCCTATTTCCATTTCAGAATCTATATTTAAAAGGCAATAAAACAATTCTAATGTACTTTCCAGCCTCACAGAACAGTACAATCAATGATATAGTAACATCATGTGGGAAGTAGAGGAGGTTTGCAATAATTTGTTTGAGAGTAAATAATTATTATTGTGACTAAACTAGCAACAGTGGGCACATCTTAATTTTAAAAAGTTCATTACAATTATATGACACATAGAAACACATACAGTGGGGTCTTGACTTAAGAACGGCTCGAGTTAAGAACATTTTGATTTACAAACCACTCTCATAGGAAAATACTGACTTGACTTACATACTTAGATTTGAGTTACGAACTGAAAAAAACCCACGTGGGAGGCAGAGAAAGTGCAAAATTTGAACTTTCAGTTAACTGTTGGCCAGTGAAAAGGGTGCCTGTCTGCTTCCTCACTCCTCCCAGCGTTTAGAGAGTGGATTGGGAGACAGTCTTCAGACTGCCTGGTACTGCCTGGACTGTATTTTCCCTGCCTTCCCTGAACCTTTCTTGACCTAAGAAAAAAAGAAACAAAATATCTCTCTCTAGTGGTCGAAGGCAGAATAGCAGCTTCCCATTAGTTTCTATGGACGGAAAAGAGCAGATACAGATCAAATGGTTCTCAATGCATTCCTATGGGAAATGCAGATTTGACCTGATAACTTTTTGACTTGAGAACCGTCTTCCAATACGGATTAAGTTCTCAAGTCAAGACCCCACTGTATACAGGCACTAGCAGATAACATAGATAACATTAAAATATATAAAGTAACGTTCTTTCCACTTGCAGTGAAAAGTGCTACAATTAAAGGGGCATGGTATCAACTTACAAGGCAGGAGATTGTTAGTGTTGGAGAAAGTTGCTTCCCCATGCGCTTGGAGGGGAATTCCTGCTCTTGTTTCCAGTAAGTAATTTCCTTTCGCAGTCTTTCTTTAGAACTAGGAAAGGTAACTCCATTCTTATCACTGAAAAATTGATTCTCAGCTCTAGAAGAAACTCCCTTTTTTCAATGCAACCATCATTCCATATCTTTCTTTCCACTGAAAATGGGATCCCTATGATATTAAGGGACAGATCACTGGGAGACAATGCTGATCTCCTCCTGATGTGGGGAGGGCAGAGTACAATCAGTCACCAGGCATTCTCTGTTCTGGGTTGACTTATTTCCCAAGTTGTTCTTTCATAAGCTCTAATGTAATAAGACACTTACTGCTTTTTTTTCACTTTCTGCTTTTGGATCATCCACATACGAAAGTATGAAGTCTATTCGCCGGATACCATCTCTGAAGAAAACTGAGTCCTTGCTTTCATGCCGCTTGTCAATCTAGAGAACATACATTGTAATTAATTTGCAGCTGCTCATAAATTTTGTAAAAAGACCCCAACCTGTATGCCTTTCAATTGTTTCAGATACTCCATCTTCCAGTTCTGAAGAAGTTTATGGCCATAATGAATTTTCTTTTCATTATGAAAAAAATGTGGAAAAACATTAATTACAATTTCATTTTTTGTAATGTATTAGTACTCTTCTCCCTTCTGCTTTACACGTCCTCGTATTTGCACTCCTCTATCAGTCTTCCATCTAATATAAATCCAGTCACTGAGCCCACTGAGCCCTCCATGCATGAGCACACTTAAAGCACACTTAATTTGTACATAAACCACTGTCAAGACATGTGCTTCTTTGAATGAAATTCATGAAACAACAGCATCTAAAACCAGTTGCAACTGAATCTTACATATGCAGGACACATTATACAACACTGATTAGAACAACAATGACAAATGCTATCTGTCTCTAAACCACTTGTAGTTTTTGCCTGAACGTTGGTTTTTAGAAACCACTGTAAATATTGCAGAAGCAGATAATGCAGTCCTGGTGTATTTTGTATTGTAAAACAGTAACATTTTGTTGTAAAAATGGCAGAGATGCAAAATGTGAAAGCAGGAAGCACAGCAGGGTGATGGAAAGTAAAATAAACCTTTCATATCAAGGTTTAGGAAAGCAACAGATGCTCAGCAACATCTAGCTGACAGGTTATGTGAGAACACAAGTGGGAACAACTTTGGTAAAATGTGTAGTTTTGCATGGATTTGCATGGAAAGCTGTGTGTTTGACATATTTAGAAGAACATTACTATGACATGGCATAAGATGTAAATGCTCATTTCCTGCTTGGTCTGGTTTTTCTTAGCTTCCTCAGAGAAATCTCTGAGTTTTCTTTGAAAAACCAAGAAGGTTCCTTACAAGGCTTTGGGACTACCAATCTTCAGCCACTGATGGTCTTTCAAGGCTTCTTAGACTTACTGTATGAATAGATGGACAGTTACAATACTCGGATTTCCTTGACACAATTGATGTCTTAACCTGGAGGTTTGTACTACTGCAAGACCTCACATGCAGTGTTGCTGTGATGAAAAAGGTGTGGCAACTGATTTAAGGTTGTTATGAGTAAAGCTAGGTTTCCACTTTTAATCTGATTTCAACATGGTTTTATTGCATGATTGTTTCTTGTGTTTGTGGATTGGTTAATCTACATTTTAGATTTTCATGCTGTTATTTCCTTGGGGTATTTATGGATTGGTGGGTATTCCAAACAAATTCCTAAATTTGTTATTCTGAGATTCCTGAGAGTTAATGCCATCTGCAACAGTAGGCCTTGCCACAAAAAACAGTGTATGTTCTAGTGCAAAAAGCTTTTATTATTATTGCTTCTTATTCACAGTGAAAAATTCAACAAGATAGTTTACAATCTCCATGTCGCCACAATGTCTGCAGTGAGACAGACAGATCTAGGTTGCTGCCTCCATGTATAACATCTGCTCCTAGTTGAAACATTTTGGGGTAGCAGGGTCAAATATTAACAATTTCAGAAGCCTGCCTAACAAGAATGTGAGAGAGAGCCTTCTCCTGTGTGGCTCACAGACTACTGAATGCAATCCCTTCTGAGTTGCAGACTTTTCCCATTCTGATTGATATGAAGAAGGGAATAAAAGCACATAATTTTAGATTGGCATATGAAACCAGCCCTTCTGTGCTTTTTTTAAAATCATGATCCACTGCTGTTTTTAAGGATCTGTAATGTATTCACTTAATTTTAATGGTTTTACAGTGGCACTTGTTTTTAGGACTCTATTACTTTTTTAGTTAAACACGGTTTTATCTGTTTTTATTCTTTAGAAAAGTCAATAAGCTACCTAGAGCACTATCTCTTATGAAAAATGGGGTATAGATGTAGTAAATAAAGGAGGCAACATAATCTATTATGAATTGGTTTAGAATTGTTTGTATCATCACAGCTAAATTGGTTGAAATCCAGTTGGTAGAGTGAACCAGAATCAACTGCTGGGGAGTCAACACATAATTTAATAGCTGGATGTTCTAGCTGGTAAGTTGGATTCATGACATTTTTAATTTGGTTTTTGATATATTTATATATGTATCTTTGAACACTTTTATTTCTGTGCAGAAGAGGGACAGAAATATTTTGAATAAATCGATTTGCAAGATAATCCCTCAGGGTCAAACAATTCAGTTCCACACCTATTATTTCTAAAGGCTTTCCCTTAGTACACAGGGACACAGTACTGACGTTCTGTTCAGAATATGTTTACATATTATGATGAGATGTCCATAGACTAAACATTGGGGAAAAATAGGGTTATTGTATGTATCATCTGTGCACATGGTCACCACACAAATATTGACCTAATGCATAGAAATAGTTGTAAGCAGGGACTAGGCCTGTTATGGCAACTGCAAACACTCATTCTATTCATACAAAGAAACATCTGTAAAGTTCTAGCCTTCCTTAGTATTTGAATAGCTTTTTTTCCCTAGAAGTAAAATAGTCTAGCATCCTGTAGCAAGTCCACCCTAATCCAAATTTTTCAGAATACAGTGGTGCCTCGCAAGACGATTTTAATTCATTCCACAAAAATTGTCGTCTTGTGAAAAAATCATCTTGCGAAGTTCCTTATGCATCGGTCTCAAAAAAAAAAACAGTCTTGCGAAGCAGCAGTCTAAAAAAGTCTTGTAAAGCATCAGTCTAAAAAAAAGTCTTGTGAAGCACGGTCATAGAAAAAAAACATTTTGCGAGGCACCATAGTGATCACAAAAACCAATCATCTTGTGGGTTTTTCATCCACAAGGCAATCGTCTAACGAGGCACCACTGTAAAACTGTCAGATTTAACAATCACATACTGAGTCTTACTGTCATGTAATTTGGTAATGATCGATATGTAGGCAGAGCCTGTTTCTGGTCACCAAGTTCAACAAGGATAGCCTTTCCAGTCTGGTGTCTTCCAGCTCTTATAATTCTCAGCCAGCATGGCTGACCTGAAGGATACTAGTGTGGGAACAGCTGCTGGGTGGGGACAATCATAGGTGTGTGTGTGTGTGTTTTTTAAGGAAGGAAGACTAATAGTTCTCTCTTCCTTTCTGGATCAAATTCTGCCTAGTTTAAACTTTGCCATTGTTTATAAACTACCAGAGAAGAATGAAGAAATATAAGCTGTTTGAGTATGTGTCAGCTTGCAAATCTTGTTCCCAATTAACTAGAGACATCACATGGTGAAGCTTGTTATCACTGCAGCCATCCAAGCTGTTAGCGCTATTGCGTTATCAATGGTTTACCCTGAGACGTCGCTTCAGGAACAGATTGAATCTCCTTCCAGTTTTCTGGAACAATCAACAGGGAGTTAGCACATGAGCACACTTTCCAAAAATCCTAGATTTCCAATTGCCGAAACTTAGAGGATAGAAACATGTTTTTTTTAAAAATAATAATAATAAAATCTGAAGGCTTTTTGCCAAAATTATGTCAAGAACATGATATGCCCATGATGATCTTCATCTCCTTTGAGGTCTGATTCACACATCCTAAATTCACACATCCTGGACCACCCACTCATGCATCCGGCAGCGGTGCCCTCGCTTATCCTTCCAATCACTTCCAGAGTGCCACTCTCTTCCAGCTTGGCTGGCCACTTGGCAGGGAGACTCATCTTCCCTCCCCTTGCCTGGAGTGTATACATGAGTGGACAGTCCAGCCCCGGGGCGGGACCCTCATTAACTCCAGCTGCGTGAGGATATTTATATTCGTATATGAACACCTCCATCTCTAATTATGAACAATTCTCAGAGCAGCATTTCAGGATTCCTGCTATGAACAAGAGGACAATCTTAGGGGGTATTCTAAGATTAAAAAAAGGAAAAAAGCTAAAGGACTTCCTTTCTCTGTGGCAGCTTCTTGTGTTTCTAATAATGTGCTACAAGCAAAACTGATTTGGTGTGTCTTTCTTTTTATAAGCTAAGAACAACTGTAAGGCTCAACTTTTATTTAAAATGGATTTATCATAGAATTATTTTATCAGTGCACATTTTAGACTGTTTTTGTTTTTGTTTGGTGCATGGAAAACTATTACACCATACTTTAGTTCTAGGATGTGGGATGTGTGAGTGAAAAGATACACTAAGTATATCTGATGGAGGAAAACAAAGTATTGGAGATAGCAAGTAGTTATACCTTACCATGGCAAACTTAATTTACTATAGCAAATACAAAATAATATGTTTAAATTGAGGCTTTGCTAAAATCAAGCTAATAATAAAGCTTCTTAGAGCAGAAATAGTCAAGATAATTACTAGTTAAAACAAAGGACAATTTCATTAAAGCACTTTAAGAGTGTAAACTGTATGTCTACAGTATCCCATAGAGCTCAATGAAATTTACTCTCATGTAGGTTTGAACAGGACTGTAGCCTAAAGAATTATAATAAGTCCTGACATTATTTTCAGGGATCTATTGATTACACAAGTGCAAATAAGACCAGTGTCTCATTAGTCAATGCCATAATTCACTGCATCAAGTTATAAACTTCTGTACACATAAGTCACTGGAAGAATTCTAGCCAGTGCAAAATTCATCATTTTAAGAATTTCAGCTTCTCTTGTATATATCTCTTAATGCAAATTTTAAATCTTAAAGCTGTGAAGACAGCCTCTAAATTGGGGCAAATAGTGAATGGAGGAGGAGAGGTGGTTGTCTTGCCAACATTTCAGGGACATACCTCATATTCCTGTCCAGTGGTTCCCAATCTTGGGCCCCCAGATGTTCTTGGACAAAAACTTTCAGAAACTTTCACCACTAGTTGTGCTAGTGCTCAGGATTTCTGTGAGGATTTCTGAGGAACCAAGGTTGGGAACTACTGCTAGCCACAAACTTCCTATGGTAGTAGTTTCAGGTAGTACCTAAAATTATCTCAAGAAGCAGAAGAGGATTCCTTCAGTATCCCTTCAGTAAGTTGCACTAATTTTCTCCTTCCTCATAACAAACAGAAATACAATAAATAGCCATTTAAATTATCCCACTTTCACTGATACAAAATTTGAGTACTCTGGGTAAATGTTTCTGATCCACCCTTGAATCTCAATTTAAGGACAGAGGACATGCATGACACTGGTTATGATTTTTGAACAACCCTGATTGCTCAAAATAAATAAGCAGAGTAAGAAAGTAAATGAAAAACATGATTCAACCTAAGTAAAGCAGTCATAAAACCCAGTGATTTGAATTGGAGATTCAAAATAAACTTTGCCTGGGTTAACACGAATGTTTTTGAAGCTGGTATTTATAGGAAGACAAATTCTACAATGATCTGGCAGCTACTATCAAAAAATCCCCGAGAGAGAACCCCTGTTCATTCTCAGAGACTTTAACGCTAGAATTGGTGCTGATCAAAATTCTTGGCCCACTTGTCTAGGCCATTTTGGCATTGGGAAGATGAACAAAAATGGCCAACACTTGCTGGAGTTTTGCTGTTATTATGGTCTTTGTGTTAGCAATATGTTCTTTAATACGAAGCATCAACACAAAGTTTCCTGGAGACATCCAAGATCGAAGCATTTGGCATCAGCTCGATTTGATCCTCACTAGATGTTCTAGCCTTCCTAGCATTACAATTACACATAGTTACCAGAGTACTGATTGTGATACTGATTACTCCCTGGTGTGTAGTAAAGTAAAACTGCGAGCAAAGAAATTGTATCACATGAAAAAGGAAGGAAGACCATGTATTGACATCAGGAAGACTCATAATAAAAGAAAAGTGGAGGAATTTGCCCAAGCACTTGAGGAAACACTTCCAGGCCTGGCTGATGCAAATGCACCCGAAGGATGGGAACATTTCAAGAACGCTGTTTATAATACTGCCTTGTCCACATTTGGCAAGAAGATCAAAAAGACCACAGACTGGTTTGAAGCCATTTTGGAGGAGTTGATGCCAGCCATCGAGGAGAAGAGGAGAGCTCAAGCAGCATACAAAATCTGTCCTAGTGAGTACAACTTGCAGGCTCTTCGACTTGCTCATAGCAAAGTCCAACAGGCTGCCAGGAGATGTTCCAACAATTATTGGCTTCAGCTCTGCTCTGATACAGATAGCAGTGGACACAGATAACATCAAGGGAATGTATGACGGTATCAAGCAGGCTTTAAGTCCAATACAGAAGAAATATGCTCCCTTGAAATCTGCTACAGGTGGGATCATCCAGGGCCGAGCACAGCAGATGGACCGTTGGGTGCACCACTACTCTGAGCTATATTTCAGAGAGAATGTAATAACCGAAGAGGCACTAAATAACATTGAGTGCCTGCCTGTCTTGGAAGAGTTGGACAATGAACCAACTTTAGCAGAAATAAAAGTGGCATTGGATTCCCTCGCCTCCAGCAAGGCACCTGGGAAGGATAATATCCCTGCTGAAGTGTTGTAAAGAGATAATCACCACCAAGCTGGATGAAATATTTTGTCTTTGCTGGAGGGAAGGTGGAGTACCATAGGACATTAAGGATGCAAAAATCATCACATTGTATATGAACAAAGGAGACAGGGGCGACTGCAAAAACTACTGTGGCCTCTCTCTTCTCAGCATTGTAGGGAAGCTGCTTGCCCGTGTTTTGCTGAAGAGGCTCCAGATGCTTGCAGACAGAGTCTATCCAGAACCACAGTGTGGATTTCGAGCTAATAGATCCATCACTGACATGGTATTCTCCCTCAGACAGTTGCAGGAGAAATGTAGGGAACAACAACAGTCACTCTTTGTGGCCTTCATAAATCTCACAAAGGCCTTTGATTTGGTTAGCAGGGACAGCCTTTTCAAAATACTTCCCAAGATTGGATGTCCACCTCGACTCCTTAACATCATCAGGTCCTTTCATGAGGAAATGAAGGGCACTGTAGTTTTTTGATGTTTCAACATCAGATCCCTGTGACATCCGAAGTGGAGTGAAACAGGGCTGTGTCCTTGTGCCGACCCTGTTTGGGATGTTTCTTGCTGTCATGCTGAAGCACACCTTTGGAACTGCAACAGAAGGTGTCTATCTCCGGACTAGATCAGATGGAAAGCTCTTTAATCTCTCTAGATTGAGAGCAAAGACCAAAGTCCAACTGAAATGCATGTGGGACTTCCTCTTTGCCAATGATGCACCTGTTGTTGTCCACTCTGCTGAATACCTCCAACAACTCATGAATCGCTTTAGCAAGCCCTGCCAGGACTTTGGATTAACAATCAACACAAAGAAAACACAAGTCATGAGCCAGGGCGTGGACTCATCTCCATTACCAACTCCACACAAGAATTGGAGGTTGTTCATAACTTTGTGTACCTTGGCTCAATTATCTCTGACACTCTCTCCCTAGATGTCAAGCTAGATAAATGCATTGGCAAAGCATCTACCAAGTTCTCTAGACTCACAAAGAGAGTATGGCTTAATAAGAAGCTGAGGGCATATACCAAGATTCAGGTCTATATAGCCTGTGTCCTGAGCACACTCCTGTACTGCAGTGAGTCCTGGACCCTTCGTGCACAGCAGGAGAGGAAGCTGAACGCATTCTATATGTGTTGCCTCTGAAAAATATTTTTAATATCTAAAACATGGTTTTATCACTGCCATTCAAAAGTGAGTTTTAATGGCCAAGCAGAAATCTGAATCCATATCTCCTAAGTCCCACTCAGACACTAACTGCTACATGGTATGCTGGTTCCACTGCTCTGTAGTGCACCACATTTCAACTAGGCGAGGAAGCTTAAGGCTTCAAGTTTAAGATAATCACTCTTGTCTAGAAGATATGGGACTTGTGTTTTAGGGGGAAAGTGCAAGGAGAGAAAGGCACTTTGGATTTCCTTGCTTCAAGTGTAGAAACACAAAATAATATATAAACATTTCCAAACATAAAACAGTAGTTATGGAACTGTGTGATCCTTCACACGGGAAGCCTTCATGATAAATTTACTTTTAAAACAACACAAATCTAAACATAACTTTGGGGGGGAGCCCCTTCCAAAAAGGAAGAATGGAAAAAGCAAAAATGTCACTGTGACAACCCCAGACCTACTGGGACCTGCCACACGTTAATTAGGCTGCCACCAACCATTCCCTATAAGAAGTCACACAGACCAGGGATGGATTTTTAAACAAATAAAAGAATAAGGTTTATTTAAATCACACACAGGGAAA